CTCCTCATCCATGAGCAGCTCCACCGCGTCCTCAAAGACGCCCACCACGGTGCCCCGCACGCCAAACGGCGGCGACCCGCTGCCGCGCGCCACCACAACACGGTCGCCCAGCTGTGTGTGTGTGCATTTATGTGCGTGTATGTGTGTGTATGTGTGTGTGTGTGTGTGTGTGTGTGCAGTTATGTGCGACGCTACTGGCTGGGAGACTGGCAGACGGGTGTGCCCGGGACTGGAAGGCCAATCTTGGCCGTGTGCTGCGCGTCCAGCCGTTGCAGCAGCACGGGCGACCAGCTGTCAATGCAAGCGGGATATGGCAACAACCAATGCAAGCGATCGTGGCTGGCAGGGGGCCAGGGGTGCACATGTAGGGGCAAGGCGCGCGCGTGTGTGTGTGTGTGCGCGCGTGTTTGTGTGTGTGTGTGTGTGTGTGTGTGTTTTGGGGGGATCTGCGTGCCCCACCTCGAGCTGGCCGCCCAGCAGGGCTGACAGGGGCCGCGAGGGGTCGTAGGGCGGCAGCAGCAGGGGGGCCGCCACGTTCTCGTAGTCCACGGGCAGGAAGGAGCCCGCGCCACGCGGCAGCAGCGGCGGCATCGTGGCCTGGGGGGTCGTGGGGTGGGGTCAGCAAGGGGTCGGGGGTGATAAGGGGGCCTTGGCCGGCAGCTGCTGCGCGTCGCCAGGCGGGGAACAGCCATCATAACACACGCAACTGCCAACTCCAGGAGGACGCCGGACAAAGTGGTGATAATGGAAAGCCAGGCAATGCCGGCGAAGACGAAGCGGCATGCGAACAAACTTCATGCAACGACCTGCCGGGGCCTCACCAGCAGTATCTCCAGCGCCTTGTCGCTGGCGATCTGCACCCCGGTCTTCACCAGCGGACGCTTGGCGGTCGGCAGGCCCTTGAGCCATGACGTCACCTGGCGTCAGCAGGTGGGGGTTGGGGAATGGGCGGATCGTGTGGGGCGAGGCACGGCGCAGGGCAGCGGGCGCTGGCTCGACACTGGACCGACAGCGCCGCCCGCGAGCGCGTTGCGGCGGCTGCCTTGGTACGCGTGCGTTCTGTGCGCGGCTGCGGCTGGTGCGCAGCTGGCCTGCCTCTGCCGGCGTCGAAACAGCCAGGACGGCCGGCAGGGCGGGATGGTGGTGGCAAAGCGCGCCATGCCCCTCTCCCTGGCCTCCCCACCTCCGAAAGCTTGGCGCTGCGCTCCGAGGCGGTGGCTGCGACTGAGGCTGGTACCAGCATCTCCGCGGTCAGGCGGTGCTCGGCTGGGG